TTTCTTTCTGGGCAGATTGTTGAAAGGATAAAAACGGGGGTTTTCCTTCTCGAGAGTTTGTAGATATTATAAACACGTATTGGTTTGGTTTGTTTTGAATTTCGCGCAAAGCTACACGAGGGCTATCTTCGCTAGCCGTCCCTAATTTAGCAGTGTAAGACTAGAGGGAAAGCAGCTAGTCATCACTACCCACCGCCAACTCTTGGGATACTCCTTTTACCAACAAATGGTGGGATTGACCATCACGTTATAACGTCCGCACGGCTGCAAGGGCGAGCATGTTTAGTGGGACGGGGATTCGAACACGCAGATTGCGAGTTGAGCTCCCTAACCACCTGGCCATACCGGGCCACTTATAATTGTAGTATAAAGAGTATGAAACAGTTATAAGCGTTCAGTGTATGACAAATTTTAAGAGTTGAAACAAAGTAACTCACAAAAACGAAGAATATACCCGTAGTAAAGAAAAAATAGCTAAAATATGTTTATAGCAATCTATGAAATGAACCGAAGCTAGATTATTGCAAAGTAAAGTAAATATAAAGGTGTAATGAAGGCAAACTTAGCTGTATATGCAGAAACGTCTAACTGCGTGTTCACAAAATCATAAGCATGTGGTTTGAACGAACTACACATGCTTATTTTAGACCTAACTAGGTCAAGAAAGCCCATAGCAATTCTATGTAATGTAATGTTAATTTTTTTAGGAAATTATACGGGGGTTAAGTGTTGTTTTTGTGCATTACTTTGCAAATATAACAAAACCAAAGATGAAATCGAAGCCAGTCTTCACGTGATGATAACGACATTGTGCCATCGTGTACCATAGTCGTTGCATTGAAAAGACTGACTAAGCAAAAAAACATGCAAGGTGATTCTGAATTGAAAACCAATATGCAATCCGGACTCCTCGGACAAAGGCCTTTCTAACGATATGAGATTTTGATCGAGAAATTTGAGATAAAAGTTCTGGACAAACAAACGCAAGCTAGATAGACTGGTGTTGTTTTTTTATGTGCGAAGTGCTAACTGAAATACATTATTACTATTATTTTACAGATAGAGAAAAAATCGACTTTCAATTGAAGAAAAAAGAAGTAATATCTCTACTTATCTATTAGCCACTGTACAATATAATACAGTTGTGTTGTACCCTGATGAAGATATAAGTCGAAATATTGATATTAATACACTTTCCTAAATTGAAAGTCGTTTCAAATAAGTTAATTTTGTGTAATTTACTTAAATCCATACGGTATTGTTTTCCGCTGAGTTGTTTATTGTGTTAATAATTCCGTTCCTTCCTTGTTTCTCTCTTGGTTTGGCTTTAATTAAACGAAAATGTTTTTATGGATCTTCATCTATTGTTAGATTTACTCGATAATTGGAGCATATGTATGCTAACTGCTCAGTATATATGAAACCACGCCGTGTATTTATATATGACTTGGACTTCGATTAGGGCTTTTATCTCTGTACATTTAACACATGATCATAAACAAGAACAGATAATATTCATATCGCCTGGTGAATTAAACTCTACTCAACAATCGTATGTATTTACTGGCTAATTATAAAGCTAAATTACAAAAGATCTTGTCTAACAGTTCATAAGACAACAGCTTCTTACACATTTAATTGAACGTTAATTAATTTTGTGCATAATTGTACGTCAACATTCTTATTAATTAGAAATGAGAGAAAAATGACTGAAGTCTACAAAGCTTAAAGAAGTATACAGAAGGATTATAACAACAAGAATGAAGAAGCTAAAGGAATTGTAGAGAAGAACATCAACGCAAGGATAAAACAT